AATTGGAATTTTCTCTTACAGCTTGAGCCTAAGTGTGTCGCAGGATACCCTCTAGGTGATAGTTCTTGATTACTTTTTGATAAATAATTCGTTCTCTCAAAAATTTTTGAGGCGAAATACCCTAAAAGAAGTTTGTAGAAAAAAAAGAAATAATTGCTTCAGTGAGTCACGGCATTTTTTTATTGCAAAAGATTACTACATAAATTCGAACCCACTGCGTTTGATTGTACAAATACTTAAAAAGGTTTGACCAGCTTCTGTTTCACATTGCGGCTATTGATGTCCGCTAGTTGGTTGACATGAGCCTTCGTGCTTTGCAGCTCTTTCTCCATAGAGCCGATGGTCTTCTGCAGCTTGAACCGTTTCTCGTTTGTGAGCATCAGGTTGGTTTCCAGTTCACGCACCTCTTTTTCCAGCTTCGCAATTTGCCGCTCTCTCAAATCAATTTTCTCTTGCAGCTCCTTAATCAGCCGATCCTTCATTTTGCCCTCCTTAGTAACTTCGGCTAGAACAGTTCGCATTTCTTGGGAGTATCGAGTCAGGCTCTCCTTTTCCAACACCAATTCGTCGCGGGATGCTTTCAGAACTCCGGCCATATTTTCGCGGTATCTGAGCAGGTTTTCCATTTCGTTCATTTGCTGGGTTTGCTTTTCGATCAGGTTCGAGTAGTGTTCGAGCTTTTGCTCACTCTCTATGGACCTTCGCATCAGTTCGCTGAGCTTGTGCCGGCCATCTTCCACCATCTTCTGCAACTGTTCCGTAGGACAGCCGTAGTTTTGCTCTTCCAGCGCCTCCTGCCGCACCTTCAGTTGCCGAATTTCCGCATGCAAATTGTTCACTTCGGTGAATTTTTCCTTCAGCTTACTTTCGCTTTCCTCCAATAGCATGTGGTACTTGGTGATGCATTCCTGCTGCTTTGAGACTTGTTTCTCCGTCTCGGTTGGCTCGAGCAATTGGTTTTCTTGCAACTGCTTGCGCTCTTCGATCTGGTAAATTCGTTCGGCCTCCAGTTTGCGCACGGTGTCTTGTAGTTCGCGAATCCGCAAGTCCTTGGCGATGTCTTCAATGTAGTCTTCAGCCGCGGAGGAATTGGGGTTGCGCAAAGCCTGCCCCCACTCTATGCTTGAGCTCATTTGGTTCATTTTCTCCTTGCAGTCGAAGCCCATTTTGGCGATGTAGCCCTCGAAGGCGCTGCATTTGCCTTGAGCCTCTTCCTTTGCTCTGTTGGCTTCCTCCAGGCCTTGCTTAGTGCGCTGCAGCTCTTCATTGAGCGCCTCGATGGTGGTCTGCAGCTCCTCTTGAGTGCTAACTTTTGCCTCCTCCAACGCCTCTAAGGTGGACTCATACTCGGTTTTGTCCACATTCAATTTATTGAGAAAGCTGCTTTGGCGGCTTATTGTTTTGGACATTTCGTCCTTCTCCTTGCTCCACTGCGACTCTTTGTGCTTGAGCTGGTCTTGAAGCAGGCGGATTTTCTTCTGCAAGTCCGCATTGGCGGTATCGGATGATTTCTTTTCGGCCTCCAGATCGGCGATTTTGGCCCGCATGGACTTCAGGCTGTGCAAGTTGGTGGAGTTCTTGCTTCTGGCATCCACAGCCGATTTTCTTTCGTGCTCCAAATCGTCTTCCAGTTTTTTGATTTGGTCCCTCAAGGTGTGGATGATGCCATTTAACTCGGCCACTGATTTGTCGTAGGAGGCCCGTTTGTCTTCCAGTTTTCGCTTCAGCTCGATTATTACATGGTTTGAGTCTTGCGCGAGTCGGTCGTGCTCTTTCAGCTTCAGCTCCAGGTCGCTGACGGCATTGCTGGAATGCTTTGCGGTTAGTAGAGCCTGCCAATCAGCTACGAGCGCGGCAATTTTGCCTTGATGTTCCGCAATTATCGCATCAAGGGAGTGCTGGAGTTGGAGGCCTTCGTTCTTCAGGGGCTCAATTTGGTCTGCCACTTCGGGAATCTCCACTTTGCCCAGCGTCACGTTTTCGAGAAGTTCTACTATCAAATTTCTTCTGCTCAGCAGGTTTTGGCACACATCCTGTAAATTTGCTGGTATTTCGTCCAAGGAGCTCTTCATTCGATTGACCACTTCCGCAGGAATTTGCTCGCCACTGCCTTGAATCAGCGGCTTTTTGTAATTACTGACCGCCACCAACTTGAAGTCCTCGAGCTTAACGAACTTGCCCAACTCATCCAGCCGCTTTTTGATTTGTATTAAATTACGGTACATATCAACGACGGGTTTCTGCTTTTCCAGCAGCTCCTTCTTCAATTCCAAGTAGCGCTTGTTCCTGTTTAGGAACTGTATTTCCAGCGTATGCTTGTTGGCCACTGTGCTGGTATGACTTGCCGAAAGGGAGCTGGTTCTGCTGGTCGATCGGGCATTTTTCAGCAGAGAGGGAATTTTAATGGGGCCCGATGATCTGATGGGCAGCGGAATGCTGGACAACGGACTAAAACTGCGGGAATTTGGCGACTTCGGAGCCACGATTTTGGCTGACTGCGGCCGCTTTCCGGCCTGTTTCATCATGGAGGCAGGGAAAACTTCACTGGAAGAGGCGCCGCTTTGCGCTGGCCGTGGCAATTTTGAGTCGGTGATCAAGTGAAAGTCTCCGTCCAGTTTATCCATATTTGGAAAACTCATTGCCAGCCCGCTGGTTGAAAGAAACTCATGTCCAACCTCGCTTCCATGTCTGCTTGTGGGCGCACTTTCTGCATCGAATGAAGACATGACCTTTCGAAACCGACTGGAAAACCTGCCGTATTTCTCACTTTCACGGAATTATCACAATCTAATTTTCTTTGTTATGAGCAAATGATTGATGGGCGCTTGACGTGGGCATGGTGGTGCATTTTCACCTAGTTGTTCTACTACAGGGCACACACTTTGCTCGTGTTCCTTTTACAAGAAGTGGAACCGAAACTTATGAAACTATTTAATTTTGTTGTACGTGTTCTAGCTTACCTGTTATTGACTTCTTCTTTAAAATCCTCAATCAGTCTATAGATAACGTTGTGCTCTTTGACTTGCACGTCGGATCCCGAAATTAAAGGCTTCAAGTTATTGGGAAAGTCCACATTGAACGCGTAGACGATGGCGTTAAACGACTTGGCCAGCTCCAGGTCGGTTTGCGTGACCGGCCCGACTCCATAGTGAACCAGATCCAGACGACACTCTTCCGACTCATATGTGTCTAGTGTTTCCAAAATTGCCTCCAGCGTTCCATCCACGTCTGCTTTGACTATCACGTTAATAGACGGCGGCCCATCAGCTAGAGCAGATGTTCATTTTATATAAAAAATGAACAAGTTCAGTTGGGGCAAACCTTCAACTATTTCAGGCTTCCTCGGTCCTTCTGGTTTACTCTTTCGATATTTTCCCAGTAATCTCCGGCGTTTTACGTCTTCTTTATACTGTTTATCGTGCAGATCGCGCTTCTGTTCAATCACCTTCAAGTCGTCTTCCATTTTTCTTTCTTCCAACTTTTCTTCTCGGAACTAAAACGACGCATTTTACCAATAAACAAATAAATAATAGTTTAAGGCATAAACAAACCTTGATCACTTGTTTGGCATACTTTTCGCTTTCCGCCTGCAGAACGATTTCCCCAGCTGGTGGCAACGCCCTCCACCCATCAATTTCCGCAGGATATCCAGGAGGAACCTCACTTAGCTCGACTCCGTCTGCGCTCTTGAGGGTCCTAACTTTTGCCATAGCGGTTCCAGCTACTAAAATGTCGCCCTTTTTCAGTGTGCCTATGAGAAAACAAACTAATAAGCACGGAGGATGGCAAACTGAAAAAACCAACCCTTTTGGACGACGATCGTGGACAGTTTTCCTCTGAATGGATGAATGTTGCTTTCCACAATAACTGCCTCCACTGGCCCAGTGGGGTCTCCTCCAATATCCAGTAGATCAGCTTGCAGTACCAAAGCTTCAGTGAGTTGGTTTAAGTTCTGCTTTTTTAGCGCGGATATTGGAACGGCCTGGATGTCTCCGCCCAGTTTCTCTATTTGCAGACCAGCTTCGAGCAGCATATTCTCAGTGCGTGGTATATTGGCCTTTGGAGAATCGATTTTGTTTATTGCAACCAGTATGGGAACTGAAACAGAGAACTGATAAAAAATTCAAAGTTTTTTGTTTTATCGTACCTTTAGCATTTCTAGCCATTCGTACAGATTCCAAGGTTTGTTCCATAACGCCATCATCGGCAGCCACAACCAAGACGACAATATCGGTTAAATTCGCGCCTCTTGCTCTCATTGAGCTAAATGCTGCATGGCCGGGCGTGTCCAGAAAGGTGATTTTTGCGCCTGAACCCAGTGTGACCAAAAAAGCTCCAATATGTTGAGTGATTCCTCCGAACTCCTGTTCGACCACACTGGAATGTCGCAGTGCATCCAAAAGAGTGGTTTTTCCATGATCTACATGGCCCATTACTGTGACTACTGGAGGCCTAGGCCTTAGCTCTGCTTTTGTTGCAGGCGGTCGAGGTTTCAGCTCCTTAACTTTATCTTCCGCGTTAGCATCTATCGGTCTTCCTGTGACGATAAATAGTTTTCACTGTGAAGTTTTCGGGCGTTTTTCCTGAACAAATTACCGATTATTTTCACTCGTTTGCCTCCTCGTTTAACGGCGTTCTGAAGACATTTGAAATCGTCTATTGGCGTATGTGGGTTGTGAATTTCATTTAGAAACAAATCTCTCACATAATTGATATCGCGTTTTAAAACTGTCGCTAATTCGGCCATTGTGATGCCATTCCAGACGCCGATTACTTCGTTCTTAGATTTGCTTGGAAACTCTATTATTCTCGGTGCTTTCTGGAAAGAATTTAAGAATTATTAGGCAACAGAAGGTTTGCCAAATGCGTGTTAAATCGTGTGCGTGTAATGGTGAAGGAACACTGCTGGTTTTCCGGTTATTAGACAAAATCAACAGTGATTGTTCACTGGTGAAACACCTTCGTTGTCTTGTTGTCACAACTGTTGATTCAAACACAGCAAACCAACTGGAATATTTAAACAAATCCTGCTCATCAGATTCACCTTTTCTTCTGCAGTTTTTCTCCTTTTAAAGTACACCACACTAGTATTTACATTTCTGAGCGGGTAAGTGATACTTTGCGCCCTTTTAAGGGCTCCTCCACATATTAATTGGGCAAGGCTGAAAGTTTTTATTAAGAAATGTGATTTTTTTGTTACATAAATTTTCAAGCACTTACCTGCGCTTTTCGCAATGCCATGGTCGGAAAATGCGAAGGTTCAGAACAATTTCTGATCTAAAGTTCCTTAAATACACAGCCATATAAAAATGCTTATTATTTCATATTTTATTAAATTTTAATTCGATTTGATGTTTCAAACTAAATCCGAGGTTCTTGTTCATCTTCGTCTTCATTTGCTTGCGTCATTGTAGCTAATTAAATTGTCTTTTATCGAAAAAGCCGACTTTTTCAGAAAATTTAAGCTTGTAATAACTGAAAGGAACTCTCGGAGATTGGAAGGAATCAGTGGAAGATTAAATATAATACTCATAAACATTGCTAAAGGATTTCAAACCTAATTCCTCCACATCTTTAGCGTCAAAAAAGAAATGTCACCGGGGGGATGACAGGCATATTTTTGTTGACTTGTTTCAGTAGGATCGGTCTTTCAGTTTAACACGAAAAACAATCAAGTTTCACACGTAAAAATGAGCGACCAGGAGGAAAAAGTTCAACAGTTCACTCTAATTACTGGAGCGAATCCAGACAGGGCAAAATTCTACCTGGATTCAGCTGCCTGGGATGTTGAGGTTAGTAGGTTTAAAAATCTACATGTATTTGTGTTTTGCGTTTCCTTTATTAAGGACTAAATGTGCAGGTTGCAATGGCTCGGTACTACGAGAACGATGGAGACGATGTCGATCTGGTGGAGGATTCGTCGGTTGCAGCCCCTGCGGCGCCTGGTCTAGTTATAGCTCCCAAAAAGCCAAAACCGAAAAAATCATCTAACTTTGCCACTATAAACACGCTAACATCTTCCAGCGATGAGGAGGAAGAGGGACAGGCCTATTATGCTGGAGGCTCAGAACATAGTGGGCAACAAGTCTTGGGGCCACCTAAAAAGAAGGACATTGTCGCTGATATGTTTAAATCTGTCCAAGAGCAAGTATCAAACTTTACCAAGCTGTAGGCGAGAGATCGTTGAACGGGTGGTTTTTTCTTCAGGCATGGAGTAGAGATATTAGAACAGGGCTCCAGTACTTCTAGCCAACATTTCAGAGGCACAGGTTACAAGCTAGGGCAAGACAACGACAGCTCTGAGGTCATACCGGGCCCTCAAGAACCGACTGCGCCTCAAGAGGTCACATTAAGGTACTGCCCGTTGTCCTTAGAGGAGCTCAACTGCCATTTAAATGCCATTTTCTAGATTGTGGCAAAATGGGTTCAGCGTGAACGATGGAGGACTGCGACTATACACGGATGCTGCAAATAGCGATTTCCTATCAAGCATTAGAAGAGGAGAAATTCCCAAAGAACTCAGACAGGGAAGGGCTGAGGTTGGCTTTCCACCAATCAGGAATTAACTATTTTCTAATGTCAACTTTTCCAGATTCATTTAGCTATGGAAGATCATCGTACTGAGCAGTATAAGCCAGTAAAGGGACACTCCAAGCCTTTCCAAGGACAGGGATATACTTTGGGGAGTCCTGCACCTGACATTATTGGTAAGTTTGGATGAAAACCATGAATGGCTTTCAGTATTCAGTGATCAATAGACTATTTATTTTACAGGGGCACGCACTGATGAGGATAAACCCGCGAATGAGGCTCGGGCCAAAGAAGCGCTGAAACTTAGTTCCTCTGAACCAACCACCAGGTAAGAAATAGAGTAAAACAATGACAAACACTCTTACGTTGTTTTTTAGCATACAAATTCGTTTGGCTGATGGGTCAAGATTAGTAGGCAACTTCAACCATGGACATACAGTGGCTCAAGTAAGACAATACATTACAACGGCCAGACCGCAATATGAAACCCAGACATTCAATTTGCTGTCCACTTACCCTTCGAAGGTTTTAGATGAATCTCTGACTCTAAAAGATGCCGGTTTGTTGAACTCGGCTATTATGCAAAAATTGATATAGGAAAATCGTAGGTTTATTGCAAATAGCTGTTTGTTTATTTGTAATCCCCGTAACCGCCGTCGAATTATCAGTAAATAATGTCGATGATCGTAGGTCTGTTTAATTTAGATGGGTGAATAGAGTTCACATCAGCCTTAAATCGGAACACTAATTTATATACAGTTATTATTGTAGGGGCGTTCATTATATTTAGAACAAGTAAACATCGACTACTATAAAAACATATATTTACACTCCCAAACCAGTGAGTAACCAGTTCAACAAGAATTAGATTTATGTTATTATTATGAGAATCATTAAAACACGTCAGAATCAGCTACAAGCGCCAAACGTGCCTCAAAAAAAGAGCGACTCACCTAGAGTGCATCACTTGGAGTCAACAGTTATCTACCTATAACTTAATGTACAGTAGTAACTTTACTCTATCGGAGTATTATCAATCTATCTCTGAACCCCGCAAAAATACAACCGAAGTTGCATCCTGCCACGGCTAAACTTGGGTTGTTAAGAGGTATTAAGGGTACGGCGCACGAAGTACCTCCCCAAGAAAAGCCCTGCTAATCCTGAGTTGTTAATAGGTATTAGGGGTACTGCGCGCGAAATACCTGCTCAGGAAAAGCCTTACTAGTCACCGGCATTTATCATGATAAACGGTATCTTAATTGGCCACTAGGTACTGCGGGTCATCCGCAGCCAGTACCCGCCTACTAGCGTTCTCTCTCGCAATGGGTCCAGAGCCCAGGTACTGCGGGACATGCACAGCCAGTACTCGTCCCTAACATCATTACTCAAATGACTCAAAAACTTACTAAAGTACTGTTGTACGTCTACAGCCAGCACTAGGTACTTCTCTATGAACTTTTATGCTTTTAAATGAAGTTTTAACAGTATTGAACTTTAACTAGATTTTTAAAGAAAACCAGTTTAATATTAAAGAAGATAAATAAATATAAAGACTCAACAGAAGAAAGGTAAAGTGAAGTTTAAAGGAAGTGAAGTCGAAAAGGTTACTCTATGACGAAGCAATAAGGAATATTGAAAAGGCTACTCTGTGAGAAACTCACTTAATGTTGATTTTTACACTAACAGGAAATCACACTGATAATTGCTGCTCTAATGCGAATTTGAACTAATAGTACTGCCTACTATTTGAACATATTTATTTTCAGCTAAGTTTACAAACTTCCTACTGCTACTTATCAACGAGTCAATAGTACTGCCCGTGATTTCACCCTTATTTATTGAGAGATTCCCACCCACAGGTTGGGTGGAGTTTGAGTCAAATTTACCCCAGATTCTTCGCGTAGGGAGGAGCTTGTAATAAGCTCAAGCCCTGAGTTCTACGAATTTGAGAAAGTTCTTGTTGGGCGGTAGAACGACGTACTTGAATAGGATGATCGGAAGTTGGGTCAGCTTTTGTACATAAAAATCTTCCCTTTAAAACGACGGGCGATGCCCTTGGAACGGTCCTCAATGTTTATGTCAACCTTTATCTGCACGGCTTCTATGCCCACTTAGGTGGTCGTTTAGAATTTATTGGTTTCGTTATTTACTTACGTCTTACATTATGAATCTGTGTTATTGCCTAATTTTGTTATACCAACTTAGATAATTGGAAAATACAGAGCATTCAATGGAGGTGTTTTTATAAATAGAGTCAATCAGACCACGCAACTCACCAGAGCTGATGAAGACTTTAATCTACTTTATTATGAATCACAGGAACATTCTTACTTTACACAACAATATTATTGTGGTTTATCCAAATCAAATTCATCGCTCTTTCTTGCTCGCCAAAAAATGCATGCCAAGGCTTAAAGCAGCAACAACGCTACACATAAAAACTGATGATGGTGGAAAAATACACCGAAACGTATTTTGATTGATAAATAGAGACAATAAATGACTGAAACCCAGGAATGAATTTGATTTGGAATTGAAACACAGCCAGGAAAGTATATACAATTGTGGTTTATTACAAGTTGAAGGAGCTTCTAGACGAATCAACTGATTGAATATTTATTTGCTTTTTAAAGTTTCAATCAAAAGATTAACGAGCCTTGAGAGCCGACTCCTGATTTGAGCGACTGTTCTATTTGGAAGTTTATCTGATATAATTTGAAGGGCGTATTCCTTATCGTCCTCCTTTTGAATGGTCTCCAGAATAATTGTGTCTTCCTCTCGTCCCCAGGCAGGTTCGTCGTTCGTATTGCTATCGCTTTGGGAACCTTTTGTACTTTCTGTTGAAGAACTGGACTCATCACTTTCGTAGTTGTCTTGTGAAGATTCCTCGACGTCTAACTCTGTTAACATTTATTGTTTTATATTTTAAAAACATTTTAATACGCAACTATTCTGGTACCTGTTTCGGATTCCATCGTGTGTTGTTCGGGAGTCAGTGATTTTTCTAAAGATTCCCCAGATGAATCCATGCAGTATTCTGTCGATTTCTCTCGTTGTTCTTCACTAGCCTCATGCTCGCTCTCATCGACGTCTGCAACTACCGGATACTTTTCCGCTTTTAATTCCACCGATTGGCCTTCTCGTTCTTCCATTTGTTCATGCCTATTTTCAGTCTCCATGTCTCGCCTTTTGCCCTCGTCTTTCTTGGATTTTCTGCTCGAATATGTGCGCTTTCTATGCTTTGTGTTTTCAGCTGAATCGCTACATCGTCCAGGTGATTTTTTTGGCGAAGATAATTTGACGCGCTTTCTTGGGGTTCTGGATATCGATTTTTTCCGTTTTCCCAATTCCTCATCTTCAGTGTCCTAAATAAATTTTACATCCCAACAATCCATTAATCTCACGAAATATAACAGCAGCAACAACAACCTGTATATTTTAGTTACTTACTTCTTCTAGAGCTTCTTTGGCAGTAAAGCCCGATATTTTATTAGGGCTGTTATCAGGTCGTTTCTTTTTATGGCTAAAACCAGCAGTTGCGGATTTGCTCATTAATCGCGCATTATGATTAATATGCCGGTTGGTTTTAAATGCTATTGTGGCCGGCTGGAATGATCTTCCTACTGATAGGTAAAGTTTTCCATTGACAAACTGAAAAATCCCATTAAATTGCAAAAGGCACAGTTCTGTATGAAACAGCATTCACCTTTAGACCACACGAGTTGCAATGTTTAAATCTACTCTTGTATTCATTGTCTTCAATCCTGTGGCAGTGGCAGATGCAATTTTGGCCTCCGTATTTGTCTTCAGTGTTCGGCACTACAAACGTCTCATACATTTCTTCATTATCTGGACGCGCCAGTTCTTTGTTTATATCAATCGTCTCGTAAGGACCCTCCAATAAACTTAAAAAGAAGAATGCGCTTAGGTATAATACAGATTTACCTTACATATATATACAAATACCTTGGCGGCGGCGGTTCGTCTTTAAAGCCCTGCAGTAGCAAATCCATCAAAATTTTACTTCCCTTTAACATTGGTATCAACGTGGCTTTTATTTTTTCCATGTTGATACTCTCGTTCTTCGATAGCTCCATTAGAGTGTTATAGACGCGCTTCAACTGTGTTGGTTGGTCCTTGAAGCAAACCTCCAGTTTGCGCAGAAACTTGACTCTTGTCTGCATTTGCAACCAAGGAATTAACTTCCCCACTGTAGCTGCTTCTTTTTGCCGAAGAAAGAATAGGAAATCTTCAGCAAGTTCGTGATACTTGGGCACCAGAATCGCCTGTACATCGTTGTAAAGATCGATTACATCGCCCGCTCCAAAATCATTCAAAATGCGCATTATTTTGTGATAGTCTTCGAATTCCAGAGTCTCGCGAAGCTTATCGTAGTATGCCACTGCAAACATCTCGTTTTTGTGTCTTTCGTTGTCGGGATTATCTGGAGTGGCAATCGCTAAGTTTGTTAAAAATTCCTTCCTCAGCTTGTTTTTCTTCCTTTCCGCTGTTGATACCTTTCTCTTGGCATTAGATTTACTATCAGGCTTTAGAGTCGTACTGGCCACTAAGAGTTCATTGATATCTTCGGGATTGTCCTAAAAAAATCATTGCGTATGGTTGGATTAAGAAGAGGTCCTGAACTGTTACCTTCTCAGAGTCGATTGCTTGCGAATTATCCCCACTAGCAACAGGCCCATCATTTTCGTCACTTTGGGAGGTCTGGCAAATGGGCATATCACTAGCATTCCTGCAAAACTCCACCTCACTACTGGTATTTGATTTTTGGAAACTGCTGCTCATTATGGTGGAAAACTCTATATTTCTTGCCACTTTCAATCTTTTGGGTTCTTCAGCGGTGGAGGTTGTTGTCGTTTCCGGCTTCCTCTGTTCTTCTATTGATGAGGCAATTATTAGAGAGGCAGTTTCATTAGAAATCGCACGGTTCTTCTCCTCATTTTCCTGTTGAGGTTTTCCACTAGCATCGAGAGTAGCTCCCAAATCGGCCATTCTGGAGGATCGATTTGGCGTAGTTAATCGCCCAGACTGGTTGACTTTCCCTTGATCTGCTTTTACCAGAAATCCAACGAGTTTCTGCACAGCTATTGGTCTAAGAAATATAGACACTACGCGTTCAACCGTAGTTAGATTGCTTGTTGAACTTTGCTTGCTCGGGGAGCTACTATTTGATACAGCAGCAAAGCTTGATGATGCCGCTACGTCGTTTAACCAGAATTGCAAGGGTGGAGTAGACTGTATCGAATGCTGTTGTAGTCCACTTAAATATTCCCAAACCGTCTGATTGCCCTCTATAGGACTTCCATACATTGACGTATTGGACACAACTAATTTACTGGGGTTCGTCGAAAGACCGGAGCTGTTGAATACAGTGCTTCCACCCAGTGAATTATTGATTAGAATCACTTGAGGCGTTAAACATTGCTGCTTGGTATGGAGGCTCTGAAAGCATTTAACCCAGAATTATCCCAAAATTCCACTTGATCAATTTTTAGCAGGAGACAGCTTGATAGATCCGCAATCTAGTGAGGTGCTAATTCAACATCATGATGATACATAGTATCTTTGCGCTCATGATGAACTTAGAAAAACTGTGTTTTCACTTGAAGTTAAAATTGTTGAAGTATTGTATTGTATCATGAAGTAAACTATACAAATGTCACGCCGGTCAGAACACATGGACCATCGATTGTCTCACTTATACACATAGGCGATTATGAGAAAATCGATGATCGCCGCCATGGGTTAATGGAACTACCTACAATGGCAAGTTAACCTAGTTGCTACTATCAAAGTCAGCAACTAGGTTAACTTGCCAAACAGTACTCATTTTCATCATTCGAAAAACACAAACAAATAAAAATGGACCTAAAAATTGAGGAAATGGACCTGTACGAAATCCTGGAAATAGAGCCCTCAAGCAGTTCGGCCGAGATTAAGAAAGCCTACAGGAAAAAGGCGCTGCAATGCCATCCTGACAAGAATCCTGACGATCCTGAGGCTGCCAAGAAGTTTCATCAGTTAACTAAAATTCTAGAAGTGCTCACAGACGAAGCTGCAAAGGCTGCCTACGACCGAGTGTTAAAAGGCAAGAAAGAAGCAGTGGTAAGGCACCAAGAGCTAGACAGCAAACGACGTAAACTGAAGGAGGACTTGGAAGCCCGAGAACGACTTGCCGCAGGGGGTTTCAGGAGACAAAAATCTGAAGCGCAACAACTACGAGAAGAAATCGACAGATTGCGCAAAGAAGGCTCGAAGCAAGTGGACGAAGAAATCCAGAATGTTTTGCGATCATTGAGTGAGGAAAAAAGTCGGATGCAAAGCCAAGGGAATGGAGCAGCTTGCCGCGTGAAAATAAATTGGAAAGCCGATAAAAAGGACGAGACAAACGGTGGTTACACGCAGGAAATGTTGCACAACTTTTTGTCAAAATATGGGGACATTCAAGCGCTGATTGTGTCATCCAAGAAGAAAGGCAGTGCGATGGTGGAGTTTAAGGAGCAGAAAGCTGCTGAAATGGCTGTGGATTTTGAATTGGGGCTGTCAGCGAACCCTTTGAAATTATCGTGGGTAAACGGGCCCCCTAAGCACGATTCGAGTCAAGCCAAAAGTGACCTGATAAAAGAAACTGACTTTGAGAGTGTTACCTTGATGAACATGAGGAGAGCTGAAGAAAGGAAGAAGCTAATAGAGCAGATGATAGCTGATGACTTGGCGTAGATGTTTACATTATTGTGAAGCATCACAGCGAGTAAGAATAGATGTACATACTTACAGTAAGTGATTAAACAAGTGTTTCATATTTTGCTATTTAAACATTTAAACATACCTTGTAAACGGAAAGCGGGGCTTTAACTGGGGTCAATCCAGCTGGATGTATGAAATTTCTCCACTGCTCGGGAAGCTCTTCCGGACACCGTTTGTAGGGGGGTACGATTTCGTTCAATGGATAAAAATAATGCACAACAGGCCTTAGTTTGTTGTGCAATAGGTATTGCTGAATAGGGTTGGACGGGCTTTGAGGGTGTTTCCTATTCCTTATGTGCCGCATGATTTTAGTCACGTCCCTATGTGGCATTATGAGCTCCTTCACATGAGAAACTACTTCTCTAGTACTAGTATTATTCCCTAAGAAATTTCTGAACTGGTCCAAACTGAATGCCAGCAAGCTGGAAAATTAGGCTGAAGCAGTCGTTCGGGGGGTTTATGGAAATGTTCACTCACTGATCTTCAGCTTCGGTAAAGCTGCTTCGATAGCTGGAAAATTCCTGAGACTTGAACGGGATTTTAGGCAGCAATCCAGGATACACGAACACTTCACTGTTCGAAATTGTTTCCAGTATTAGTTTTGGAAACGTTGCTATAAATTCCCAGTTTCTACCCATTCTGTATTGGATTGATTTCAGAAGCTGTTGCTGAACATGCCTAAAACATGCTCAAAGTAATTTCATGCAATTTTCAGGAATTAACTCGGCTTACTCTCGACATTGTCGCACAGTCTCGCTGTTCGACGCGCACAAGACTTCCCATTTCTCTATCAAATCCAGTGCAGGCAGCAGATTCACTGGGCTAAACATCGAATAGTTCTTGCCATTAGCCAAAAACTTCAAGTTCAGCTAAAAGGTGTTGAACTGCTGTTTTAAATAGCGGACATTTCTCAAGTAAGCGTCATCCTCTTACCAGATATTCCTTGAGTGTTTTGCTGTAACTGTGATACTCCGGGTGTTCGTAGGTAAGGAAGAAGTTTTGGGTCAACATCTGCACATGTTGCCTCATTTGTTGTTCAATGATCTGCAGTTGGGGTAGCTCGATTTTAATATCTATTAGCACGGTTGCATTCTGATTGGTCCCTAGATTCTGAAGAGTATCTTGTTGCTGCTGTGCATCTGGAATGAAGTCGGGGTTTTCCATTGCATGATAGGATTTTTCGATTATTTCCGACAACTGGTTGTTTTCATTGGTTCCATTAGTTCCATCGTATTCTTCAGATAAACTGTTGAGGTAGTCAAAGAGCTCTTCATAGAGTTCTTTAACCTGGGAAAAGTTAACACGACCAGAAACAAACATTATAGGCGCCAACTTACTTCTTTTTTGGTTATTTTAACAGCTTTGTCCATGCGAAAGTCCTCATTATCAAATTGGTTGATTTGGTCATCTGCCATTATGTTGTATTCGGGGTCTAGTTCTTCATCCTCTGTATGCTTGGTGACTTCGTCCAGAGGTTCAGTGAAGCCCTGGAAGCCTTGCAATTAACAAAGTGGTGAACTAAGCAATAGGCGCACAAGAAGTACCTTGAGAAAGTTCCTCCACTCGTCATCATCGCACTCCATGTCGTACATGTCCGTGGTAATATCAGGAGGAATAAACGCTTTCTCGATATCTTCCAAAGACGTGGAGCTTAGGTTTATTTTCGAGCGAGTTCTGAGAGCCATGTTGGTAACTTCCACTGAAGCGCCCTAAAATGAAAATGATTTACAATAATCGACTGTTGATTAATGCGCGTACTTGGGCTGGTGTGGCAAGGGGGACTTTCAGTACACCATCCCCAGTGCAGTTGCTGGTTTGGGTTGCATGATCTTCCGTGCACATGGGAGTTGGAGGAGTGGGTGGAGGTAAAGTGGCAGCATCTGATGATCTGGCCACTGAGTCACGCTTTGCAATCTAAAGCCATTTTGATCATTGAGAGTTTGAATGAGAATTTTCTCGACCAATCACCTCTTTCTTTGGAATATATTCATCGCCAGAGTCATCTTCTTTCAAATCTTCTCCAATCAAAACCAGAGCCTCAGAAGGAGGTGGTACGGGTATCCAAGGAATTTTCACTTGGGGAATTGGTATGTCTCTTGCCGCCAGCAATTCTCTGGAGATTAACAGTTGTTATTGAGGTACAAAGACGCCTATGGATAGAACCACTCACTTGGTCTTCGCCCGGGTCAACTTCGGTCCAAAAGCAGACAGTTCCTGTTTGGCTTGTTCCGCAGTGCCCTTATCCAACAGAGCCTTAACATGGTCATTGGTCAGCACTTGGCGAATTATGTTTTTTACATTCAACACTGTGAGGTTGCACTTTTCAGCCTTATCCGTTAGCTGTCTCTCAATTTCACCCTCAATCCTTTCAAACACATTTTGTTCGCCCTGCGAAGGGGTGCCAGGTTGCAGCACCTTGGTAAAGTCGACTTTTTCAGCATTTTCGGTTTGCTCCAAATTATCTGGAGGGTTGTCAATGATTCCCGTTTTCTCTAAAAGCTTCATTGTGGAGTTTGCACAGAATAAGAGCGCGGAACATCGCAGGCGATGTTTTGAAGTCTGTTTTGAAAAAATTACAAAATTTCTTTGGTTCTGTTCTCAAGTCGTCGCTGCTTATTGGAGCTACTCGATGGTGCTGCCCTAATCTAAGTAAAAACACTGACACTGTGAGGTAGACAGAGACGGCCAGATGAATTACGGCTTCATGCAGAGAAATTAGTAAAGGGTTTCTTGCTTATCTAGTCGGCCTGTGCAAAAAACCGAGATTATTTCAATCTTGAAATAGTGCATAAAATCCCATAAAATTGACAAGGATTAGTATTCATTAAGTAGGCATAGAAAGCGAATAATGAACTGATTATTCAAATGACGGGGTTTTGTGCAGCGTTGCCACGGTTAAATATTCGCAAGGCAACTTCAAAGCTTCAAACATTCCCGTTTTCGCTCTTGTCAGTTTTGACAGTTATTTTTCTTCGAGTAGTGTAAGTGGAAATTGGTGAGTAAAAAAAATAGTATCTAAGTTTAGCAAGTCGTTTCCTATTTTATCAGGCCCTCGCGTAAAAAATAATCACGTAAAAAGCTACTCAAATGGGCCGCAATAAAGCTCTAGTGCAGATAGGTTTGAAGAGAAACACTGTCGTATTGCAACTGCTTTATTCATTTGAAAATTCTATATATTTTTCCATATAATCCTAATGCTAATAATCATCAGTCAGCTCTTCACTAAACTCGAAAACCAATCATAATGTAATTGCTTGGCTCAAATCGAACGTTTTTCAATAAACGCAAAGTTCCTTCTTGAAAATGTACATTTAATTAGGAAAATTAACGTTGTTAGATTGAACACACAATAAATATTGTCGATAATGGATTAAATTGTTATATCGAAATAACGAAACAACTGCATGCGCTGAATTAGTTATTCCTATAGGCTCCTCTAGTAAACGCCCTAAGTGTTAATATAGTATATGAATATATCTTAGTAACTATAATTAACTTAATAAAAAGAAATATAAAAATATTTAAAATTACAGAAACTAGCTGAAACTGTATTACCCTATATTCGTTTCAGATTTTTAAGGCTGCGGAAATCACAATATTTTCTAGGAATTCATCAGGGATAGAAGATCAAATTTCAGTTGTTAATTGGAACTAGAACGTTGTTGGGCTACGAATTAAATATGGATCGCTAGAAGCCCCGAATCGGCTTTGTTATTGCTGGGTGTATTTAAATTCCTTCGGCTTCTAGACTATGGTTTTTGAAAATGTTTGAAAGCTCATCAATAAGCGTTTCATACCTGAAAGCGACTCGAATGTCTGGCACATTGGTTCTAGCAATATCGTTTCCAGCCACTCCCTCCTTGGTATAATTCGGGCCCAGCCAATACTGTTTGCTCTTGTGGCCAAATCCTGACATTAAGACACTGTTTCGCGCCAGTTCGCACATATCACAACTGGACAGTTTCCACACTTGGGCAGCAATCGAATACTCTTCCATTAACGGCTCCTTGGTGAAGTGAAACTGTAGCGGATCGTCAGTGGATAGGGAAACCACCAGTCCTCTGGCCAAGTATTCAGGCAGAGGATTTCGGTGGTAATTCAAAAAAAGGCTATTATTCGAAAGAGGAGACATGGCGATTCCTATTTGGGCCAAGTAGTACAGGTACTGAAGAACTGGGACCTTCCTCAACAAGAGCCCATGAGAAATATTCTCGGAAAGCATGTATCCGCAGACCAAGTGCTGCACCGGGCCCGCTTCTCCGCAATGGGGCCTCAGAACGAAAGTGGGCAAGCCCTTTTCAGCCCTGAAATGATTCAAAACCGACAGATTCGCATACATGTAGTACATGTAGTAGGCGTAATTGGGGTTTTCATCGTCGCACCATTCCTCTGGCTTCGGGGTGTCTTTATCGAAAAGCGGATTCTTTTCCGGCTTGCTCTCATCATCCACCGAATCAAACCCGATTACATACTGCAGGAATTTGTGCAAATTCGGGTGGCTGCTCGGACGCGCAGTGACTTCGAAAAGCGGCAGGAAAATGTTGTCGATCACCTGCTGGAAGTTCGTCAGCACCTTGTTTAGCCTGAAGATATCGCTGCAGGACAAACAAACGGGCCGGTTAAATAGCATAGTTCATCAACTCAGTCAAAGTAGAGTACTTACAAGAGTCTGGGTGTTTGGATTAACCAGCGCACATTATCGGAATAAACGTTCGAATCTATTGCCCATGCAGCTAATTTGTCCCATTCGTCCTTGCTTTTTCCGTAAATGCTCAAACGCAGCTCGACATTTTGGTATTTGGATTCCTCCAGATCGCTGGACACCTCTTTGATGATACTAGCAAAGTATTTTTTAAATTGTAGATAATTTCCATTAGTACTGGGCGAAGGTGCAAAGCAAAACTGTATATCTGAGATTGGGTGAAGCGAGGACGGCTTCAGACCGCTACTAGTAAAATGGAAGGGATTTTTCGCGGCGTAAGCGGACAAATACTTTTTGGAATCAGAAAAATGTACTGCTTTTGGCGGGACTTGAACCCGACCTCCATGAGGAGTCATTTGAGGACAACGGATTATTTGGGTACTGAGATTACCGACAGAATGGTGGATGCGAATTTCCTAGTAGCAAATGAAGAGTTTTTGCTGTCCGATAATTCTCAAATTAAAGGGATTTTTCGCGGTATAAGCGGACAAATAATTTATAATAATTATTTCGAATCATTATCGAAAAATCCCCTTAACTTGAGAATTATCGGACAACGACCGACCATTAATCGAATTACCCAAATAATCCGGTGTCCTAAAAAGCCTTAAGTAAACCCCCAGAATTCAGGGGCGGATCCAGCTTTAAAGTCAGGGGGGGTTATGTAGAAAAAATACAGTCTTCTGTTGTTTATGAACTTAGAAAAATAATCGTCGTTTTGTGCAAGGGTGGCGCAAGATTATGCCAAAATTTCATGTTTTCCGTACCGTTTTTGCTCATATCTCGGAGGCAAAATGAGCAAGAACGATCATTTGTACATCATTCTAGAGAGAAATAAATGGCCTTTCCAGAAAGTGAACCATGGATGGGGAAATGTTGGCAGTTTTCTCAAAAATGCTTGAATTCGAGAAGTTTTAGATTTGCGCGGTTTTTTTTGAGTTGCAAAATCCACTTGAACATGACGCTGCTTTTTGCGAAGTTTCTCAAGAACCATTCGAGCCACATAATTCGTTTTGGCATTGTTGGATAGATAATTGAAAAGTCGATTTAGTCGTAACAACGTGAGTGAGGAAATTCGAATAGTTTTGACCCAGAAAGCGAAATTGGAATATCAGAACGTAGGTGCAAGATTATGATAAAATTCCATGTTTTCCGTCCCCTTTTTGCTCGTATCTCGGAGGCAAAATGAGCAAGAACGCTCATTTGCACATCATTCTAGACAGAAATAAATGGCCTTTTCAGAAAGTGAACCATGGATGGGGAAATGTTGGCAGATTTCTCAAAAAATGCTTGAATTCAAAAAGTTTTAGATTTGCGTGGTTTTTTTTTGAGTTGCAAAATCCACTTGAACATGACGCTGCTTTTTTCGAGGTTTCTCAAGAACCATTTGAGCTACATAATTCGTTTTGGCATCGTTGGATAGATAATTGAAAAGTCGATTTAGTCGGAACAACATGAGTGAGGAAATTCGAGTAGTTTTGACCCAGAATGCGAAATTTGAATATCAGACACTTATGTGCAAGATTATGCCAAAATTTCATGTTTTCCGTCCCATTTTTGCTCATTTCTCGGAAGCAAAATGAGCAAAAACGCTCATGTGTACATCATTCTAGACAGGAATAAATGGCCTTTTTAGAAAGTGAACCATGGATGGGGAAATGTTCGCAGATTTGTCAAAAAAGGCTTGAATTCAAGAAGTTTTAGATTTGCGTGGTTTTTTTTGAGTTGCAAAATCCACTTGAACATGACGCCGCTTTTTTCGAAGTTTCTCAAGAACCATTTGAGCCACAGAATTCGTTTTGGCATCGTTGGATAGAGAATTGAAAACTCGATTCAGTTGTAACAACGTGAGTGAGGAAATTCGAGTAGTTTTGGCCCAGAAAGCGAAATTTGAATATCAGACACTTCGGTTCAAGATTATGCCAAAATTCCATGTTTTCCGTCCAGTTTTTGCTCATTTCTCGGATGCAAAATGAGCAAGAACGCTCATTTGTACATCATTCTAGACAGAAATAAATGGCCTTTTCAGAAAGTGAACCATGGATGGGGAAATGTTGGCAGTTCTCTCAAAAACTGCTTGAATTAAAGAAGTTTTAGATTTGCGTGGTTTTCTTTGAGTTGCAAAATCCACTTGAACATGACGCTGCTTTTTTAGAAGTTTCTCAAGAACTATTTGATAGAGAATTGAATGGGGGGGGGGGTCTTGACCCCCATGACCTCCCCTTGGATCCGCCCTTGCCAGAATTGCTTGAAATTGTAAAAAGTAGCTGTCTATTTATTCTCATGTACTAAAAGCACTCTTTTAGTACACTCTTTCTTAAATAGTTCCACACAACTAGCGGGATTTTTGAAAAGTTGTCGGACTGTTACACATTTTTCCATTATTGAAAGCATCCCAAATATCCAGATTTGTATTTAGTGAAAGAAATTCTTACTTGAATATAGTTATCAGTCTTCAAAAAAACTTCCCTCAGTCGACTTTCTCCGATCGGGTTGTACTTGGCGTTGAACTTATCAAATCTGTGAAAGGTGTTTCTATCCGCATGGACGTCCAACATGTCCACAGTTAGATCGAACGGCGTCAGATTCATCGACTGAAAACGAAGAAAACACGTTTTGTGAAACGAATTCTGGCAACTTATAAGCTGCGTTTCAACTAGAACTACTCCTAAGAGTCAACGGAGATAATGAAAATTAGAATTAGCAGCATGCAAAGAGAGCAAACGAAATTAGTATAGAATGCTGCGTCTCATCATAAATTTGGTAACAGCAGTACAGCTACTACTTCTACTGGATTCACATCAGAAGCACTACCCACACTACTCTACCACCAACTTACGAGATCAACAACCTCATCTTCATCCTGTATACCGACCTGGAACACTTCGCGTAGCGTCATCTTTTTGCCATTGGTGACCGTCACCACTTCATGTGCATTGTTCTTCAGCGCCTTCTTAATGAAGCGCAGCAGATGCTTCTGATTCATGCAGGACGCGGCGTGAATGTGAGTGTCGACTTTGCGGATGTTGTAGAAATCGCGATGAGGAACCGCCTTTTGTGAGGCCAGCTCGCGAAGCTCGTTCAGAAGCACGTGCAGTTGGAACTTTGAGGAAAGATAGCTGAGGCGCCGATAGCAGAATGATTTTCTGCAAGACATTGAACAATCGCATGAAAAGTTGATAGTTTAGATGAAGGTTCGGGCACTTACAATGGCCCGTCAGCTATCATGTTGCACATGGTGTAGAAATCGTTGGTGAATTGAACCACATCCGGATAAGCGTAGTCGTTCGCTGTGCCTTCTTTCACCGCGTTTTCATCGCGGTAAATGGTGTAGACGCCGGCTTTGTTGACGAAAATTTCCCCAGTTTCCGGCGTTTCTGGCGCTTCCCAGGGCTGCGTTCTCGGAGGATGATGAATTCCATGTTCTACAACACAAATGGGATCATTTTCCCTTCTTTCGATTGACTAGCGCTCCTGTTTAGTTCTTTCACGTCAGTTCATGTGTGCTTTAGATTAGCGATCCATACATTGAAAAACTGACTGTTTTTAATATATGTATGCAAGTGTAATCAGTTGGTTTTTCGAATAAATATAATCAAGTGTATTAATACGAAAGTATTCAGCAAAATCAAGAGATAGACTTTCGAGGCCATTCCTTGAAACTAATGGGTTTTTAGGCCGTCGTTC